AGAAAGCACATTTCGTTAGTTTTCGGAAATACCTTTAAGCAATTTTGAGCTAAAACGAAAGAAAAAGAGTGCAAATAAATAGTCAAAATCTCTACTTATCAGGGATCTTGGCAAGTGTACCAAGTAAGTGCCTCCCCTGTCCAATTCCTTATGAATAGCTTCATTATCAACTTCTTGTTTCCTCCTACTCCAACTAGCTTATCATAGTAGGCTCTCAATTGTGTATGGGAATCTCCTGTCCCATCATAGCTATCAAGCTTGGAGGCTTGTACCCTATCGGTATGTCCACATCACAGTGTATATGCAGATCCTCATAATATAGACTTGCGGTCCCTCGAGCAACTTCAAGGTTCTTCATTTGTTTCCTCAATAGCCGCAACATTTGGGATAACGACTCTTCCTTCTTATACTAAGTTTCCCTTTCTATTTCAGCATATTGATCAACTTCATAAGGCAGCCTGACCATAACGAGACTGTGTAGGTGGGTTCTGGAATGGCATATACGGTAGAACATATTGCTTGTGTGTAGAAGTATTTGCTGAGGGTATGTGCTGGTTTTGATTGGTGGTGAAGGTGACACCATCACAATGAGGGGTATAAACTGCGTTGGTAGCAACTGGTGGGCTTTGCGATGATTGAATATAGTTTGGTACATAAGGGGTGAGTATAGGAGGGTTTGGTGGGTTCATAGAGATTACTGGGGGTATAATCTGGGCTGTAGGGATTGAAGTCGGGGTATTTTTATTTGGCGAGTAGTTGAAGGAAAGTGGTCGGGGATCGAATCAAGAGAAGAAAATGGGGTGGTTGAGAGAGCGTCGTCATAGCCAGATGTGCTAATTCCCGAATGTGTTGTACTTCCTCCCTTAAAGATTCCATCTCTTGGGCTATCCAAGTAACATGTTCGCCATTCTTAGTATCATCCTTTTCTTCCGATCCCCCCGGCTATCAACTATTATCGGAGCATGTTTGGTCGGGTTATTTGTCGAAAACATCTTTCCTTTAAATCTCAAGTTGTACGGTGGTTCCGCCGCTTTTCGGGTCATTAAAAACAAACTTCTTCTTCGGGGATTAATAATAAAGTAATACAAGAAAATAAAAGAAAAATAAAAAGGACAAAAGTCAGTTTTAATGTTTGCTCAAATATAGGCACACGAAGCAGCTAGTTCACGTATTATAGAAATCCCGTTTCCTAAAGTTCGAGGGACCTCTCTTTTTCGGAGGTAGGCCTAAGTTGTGTATTTTGACAAACAATTAGATTTGACACATTAAGATCCAAAGCAAATTTGGTTTCCACTAATAATATTTGGATTGTAACAGGCGGGAGCAAAGGTTACAATATTGTTTTCAGCATTCATAAGATTACATGAGCTTAACAAACTTGACATTAGGGAAATGGAAGGGTTCGAGATAAAATATGCAAAACGGGAAAAGAGGTGAAATCAACCAGCTTCTAACAACCATCCCCAAAATCATTCCACAGATTTTCTTCTTATTCTGGGTCTTTTTCAAATTCGTGTTCATCATCATCCAATTCGGGCTCTTCCTCTAGTTCTGTCTTAGACTCAATTTGTATACACTCAACTACTCGGTCGTCATCCTCGGGAGGTGGCAGCATATGATCAATTGACCCTGGGACCACTTGACAATGCATGGAGGTTGTCACGAGGTAGTGCGGCAAAATCCCATGATAGATTTGCAAAGCCGACACTGCATCTTCTAGCCAATCTATTCCTTCCCTGCTTGGTCGGGCTAGCTCATCTTCTTCATTGATCCAGACATAGTATTACGAAGTGCACTACGAATTCTGACCCATTGGCATCGTGATTAGATCATTCCACTCCTCCTACAGCCTCATTATCCTTGGTATTGGGATCTACCCATTGTACTCGTCTTCGTACACTATCGTCCTCGTCCAGAGAGGTAAATATTTAATCAAACCAAACTAGTTGAGAACTCATAGGGGTGCATATGGCTGGATTCCCTCGAGTCCAATCAGCTCGATGAAATACTTCTGGAGCGTCCTTAGAATTGACCTGCCGCTCAGCCATGGCAGCTTCAATTTTATCCATTCTCCACTCAAGTTGATCAGTATCTCTCTCCCTTCCGCCTGTCCATACAGGGAAACCCAATGTCTCATTCTCTCACTATGACTTCGAATCATGTTGTTAACGCCCACAAAGTAATCAAATGTGGCCTCTCATTGAAAGAAGTGCTTCGTGGCCCATATTTGAAGCAACAAGTGGTAGACCTTGAACAAATCGTACCCTCGGGAACATGCAGACAACCTCTGATAATTTTTACTAACATCATAGGTACGAAGGTGGCTTGGTGGTTGCCCTGGAATGTTGCCAAAACCACATAAAGAGAATTGATATTAATCTGTCCTATTCTTTGTGGGAAGGCCAGCAATCCTAGCAGCGCCAAAGAGAAAGTTATGGGTCGGAGGCTTTCCCAGGTTGCATGATCACACTGAAACTCCCCTATGTACCATTCATAGCTCTCACGATATCCAAACCCGTCGAACAATTGGTCCAAGCTTACCCATCCATCTTCATTGTTCCTTGAGCTCCGACTACCCGCCAAACCTAAAGCATTAAGAAACCTGTAGCCGAACATGGTGACCAATAGTAACGGCTTCCTCCCTATAAATGGAAGTTCTGTTAAGCTGGTAACTTTTTCCAATAGTGGAACCAACTCACAGTCAGCGAACTTGAAAACCACTTTGTTCAGATCCAAGAACTCTATCAGCAAGCGGGTAAGCACCATGTTGGCCCGAATGTTTAGCAAGGCAGTCAATGCTCCTAGGTGCATCCTGATTTCGTCCCCATGCTCTTGGTGGATACTCTTCCACCATTGCCTTATCTTGTGCAGTGATCCCACTGCCATATTGATTTCAGGGATGTTTCGGTTGACTTCCATTTCTAAAGATGTTAGAGAAAAAGATTTGATAAGTGTTTGCTTCGGATCTTTAGTTCCCGTCATGATTAGGTTGTCTTTCCACAAAAGTCATGTCGTAGGGTGCATGACCCATTGATGTTAGGGTGGCTTTCCTGATTTTTGTTTCATTGCCAAGGATCGACTCACCTAAGGTTTTGTCACTCCCCGAACCTAGGGAGGTGTGGCTAGCATCCGGTGCCATGATTGGCCCGGACGTACCACTATATAACTGTAAACTCTAGAGGGATGACCATCAACTTAGGCCGACGAGTCCTACTTGTGAGGTGACAATACCATTCAACGCTAACGAGGCCACCACGAATGTCTACAACCAGCAATACGAAACTAACACGTACACAGGGCTGTCAAGGCCACAATACTGATATACAAAATATACAGGACTTGTCTACAAGCCTCTAGAGATAACTGAAGCGTATTATGTTCGGGATAGGGCCTCGAGCTACCCATCAAACCTGTATATATAAAATGGACTCCAATGTCTAGTCCTGGTAACTCCGAGGAAGTGGAGTTTACCAACAAAGCTGATTTTGACTCTGTCTACTAGGAAGATCTACCAGCTGTCTATCCGGAACCGCGGGCATAAAATACAGCGTCCCCAGCAATAGGGTCGTCAGTACGAAATAATGTACCGAGTATGTAAGGCAACAGATTAACTGAAAGCTGAAACGGAATTGATAATATAATAACTGAAAGTAACTGGGTTTCAAAGATAGTCTGAAGATATGATTACCTGCTGATACTGACTCAATTCTTTCAATATAGTAAGTAAAATAGTTGTCCGACCATAGTAGGCTCGGTATATAACTTACCAACTTTTCAGAGGTTGCTTAATAGGGGCCTACCTGTGTTACACCCCGTAAGTTTAACAACCTTGATATCGTTATATATATACATATATATATGTATATACATACATATATATATATATATATATATATATATATTTGATATGGTATTTTGAGTGGAACTTTTTTTGTAAAAGAAAAAAATAGTTTGAAAATATAATTTTATATAGTTATTAATATTACTACTTTCGAATATGTTTTAAATTATACACATAATATGAGAAAGTTTATGAGATTTTCTTTATTGTAAAGATAAAAATTATTTTCTCACAAGAAAATAAGGTTATCTTTTTACGATTTTAAGAATTAAGCGTACGAGAATTTTACTCTTTATACGAGATTAGCAAAATTAAACGTTAAGAAAATATATGTATTTTTTTTTACATGGATGTTTTAACGAAATAATAATATATGTATTGATTTTACATGGTACCACGATTTATTATTTTAATATTGTAATAGTAGTACTTTAAGATGAGGACAAGATTATTTTTTTGAGGTTATAATTATTTATAATATTTTGTGATAAGTAAAGTCGTGAAGATGAGAGGGTAAACGACTTGAAGAAAATAAGTTCCGTTGAAGGTTGCCGATTTAGGATAAAATACGGTCCGAGTCGTAATACCCGGTATATATGGACTAGTACCATAAAAGGTACCATATGAACGTGATAGTATGATGTATAAAATATATTAAAAATGAGTAGAATTTTAAGTAATTTAAGATAATTCTTAATTGTGCGGGTAATTGGTTAATTACCGGGTAAAGGGACATTACCTAATTACCTAATAAGCGGATAAAGATTTAAATTTCCCACCCTACCCCACGTGCCAGCTTGTGCCATTCAACCAAATGACTCATTAGCCATTTATATTATGTGTCACATTAAGAAAAAAGGTGGCTAGAGTTAATTTGACAAAGCAGTTGCACGAATGACGTGGTTGGTCAAATCTACATTTCATTGGAGTAGTAATATGATTTCTTCAGTAGTTGATGTGGAAATTGGTCATGGTGGTGCTTGCTTGTCTCTACAGTAATTTAATTTGGAAGGTTTTAATTTAATTTGAAAGGTTTTGTGGATGTGAAGTTGGATCATGAAATAGAGATGGTAGTTGACGAGTTCAACTGGATGTTTGCAGTTTGCCAAATCTCCTTTAGAAGTGATGTGATGAAATGGACTTTGAGAAATGATTAGCAAAAGAGAGAGAGAGGGGAGGTACCATTGGAATATTTTTAGGAAGAGTAACAATAATATAATGGAAGAAATGAAAAAGGATGATAATCTAAAGCTTGTACAAGAAAGAATTGAGCGTGATCCCACTGCTCACAGGATCCTATTGTCGAAGGCACAAGAATCTGAACTCCAATGTGAACATGCTACATTGCAAACTAAGGTTGATGAGTTTGACCAACTACTGCAAAGAGGCAAAGAGGGAAACCTTTTGGACCATACTTTTAGGGATTCCACTGAGAAGCTTCATTCTGCAAAGAGGGAACTTGCAGCTAAGCTGCGGTCAACTCTGTCACTAAAACGGCTACTCGAGTATGTGCCATCACAAGCTGAACTCATTCAGTATGAACTCCGTTTTTCAGAACTTTATACTCATATCAAAGCCAAGCATCGTCAAACCCACAAAGACTATGCTACTTACAACATATTGTTGGAGATAAAAGAATTGATGCTAAAGGAAACATCGCTACTGAATTCCATAAGCTCACAGGTATGTTAAGCCTATCCCTTCTTTTTTTTTTGGCATGATCTATACGACACGAACGAAACGAGCAAATGCACAAATTCCATAAATGACTCTATTCATAGAAGTATTAGAGATGTGTATGTTCCTGATTCCCCATATGTCCTACTACCATATTGTCTATTCATGGGTCTCATAACATTCCAAGAGATCATACTGTCATACTTCATTATGCATTGCATTCATTTATACATGTGCATTTACCCACGACTCAGACGGCGTTATATACGCGTGTATATGTATATATGGGAAAAGGTTACGGCGTTATATACGCATCACCACCTGATCAGCTGGTATACGATGATGATTTTGACCATAGTGGCTGAGATGATATGATAGGATGCCCTCAGAGGCTTTATGATGTTATGTATGTATAGGCCTATGGATTACATGACATTTATACGCATATGCATGATACTATAAATATTTCATGATTTAAAGAGCTATCCAAACTTACAGGTTGAGTCCTTTACTCCATGTTTCTTCCATGTCCTTAATTAATGTTGATTTACTGTTATGTTTCAGTTCTTCCTTACATACTAAGTACATTATTCGTAGTGACGTCTTTTTATTGGGGACGCTGCATTCATGCCTGCAGGTATAGATAATCTGTTTGACGAGCCCTCATAGTAGACGAGATTGGCATTCAGCGAAGGATCGGTAAGACTCCACCTCATTCGGAGTGCATCCGAGTCTATGAGTCATCGTGTCAGAGTTTTGCTACGGACTTATGGGTAGGCCGGTACCCTGTCTTATTTGATGTCAAATAATCTTAGAGGCTTTGTAGATGGAGGTTCATCTTGTACAGTATGTCAGAGGCCTTGACGTCCCATATGTATTCATGTTTTAAGAAAAATGGTTCAGTGATACTATGTTTCCCACTTACAGTTGTACATTACGAGTTGTGGCCGTGTTGGCCCATGATAGTAACAAAGAAAAAAAAAGAGTTGAAGAGTGGTTCGCTCGAGCCAGTGCGGCACCGGGTGCCAGCCACACCTCTCCAAGTTTGGGGCGTGACAACCTGCCGATTATAGCTCGATGGTAGTGAAAATACTAAATGTATATATCGACACACACACACACACACACACACACACACATATATATATATATATACACAAACACACACACGTGTGTGTATATATTCGAACTTCTCTTTATGTCTCGTTATAAAACACATGCATTTACATGATCATGCCAAAATGAAGGAAAGGTTTACGCTTAACATACCTTATTACAATCTATCCAATAATGATGTTGAACTCATCTCTTTGCACCTTAATCTGCAACAACGATAATAATACTATCATTAAGTTACGAAAGCTACAACCATAGTACAACCAATGACAAGCTTATTTTATATTAAAACGGGCGGCATCACCCCTATTTTCCTTGCTTTCCCAAGTCCATGAACCAAAAAGAACCCATTAAACCTTCACCTATATAATTTCAGCACCACAACACAAATCAAGCTACACAATAAGTGCATAAACATTACCAAGAAAACTGCTATTTAACACGACAAACGTCAAGATCGGATTGCATCCCTTTTGAACCCTTTTGACCCCAAATTCATTAATTTATTAACTTAACAACATATTCATCATGATATTAAGTACAATGGGAGGATTTCTAACCTCCTATTTATCTCCTAATTCACCCTCAAACAGGCCAACAGTCCAACTACAACATTGTTATGTTGTCCTTTCTCTTCATATTCATCGTACCAATAGTAAGTCCGACATGTAGAAATATATTTATAGTAAAAATATCATAAAAAATTCATTTTCAAGGTTTCCAACCATTTAAAGTTCACGGATATGATATTTCCAAAACAGAGCATCAAAAACGATAACATCTCAAACTGTTTCGAGCATCCTCTTGTAGGATTTTGCTCGAATAAGGCAACCAATACATAAACAACTTCAAGAACATGTAGTAGGCGGTTAAACTCACCTTAACCCGTAGAAACAACACAATATTTCATCCAAACACAACCCACAACTATCCTCAACGACACCACAACACTATAGGTATTGTTTTCTCTTCTTGAATCAACTTTTGGTGTTCAAGTTGGTATGTAAGAACCATCAGTTCGCCTTGCAACTCCAATATATATTAAGGAGGGACTGATTCTTACCTTAATCAACAAGAACAATATGAAACCATAGTTTACTTCCCTTTGAAGAATCCTTCAAAATAGCCACAAGATGAAGAACTACGATCTAGCAAGAACCAAGGGATTTCTAGCATTGGATTCATGTTTTTATCATTGTTTTTAACTCTAGTATCATAGATGAACTCTTGGAGATCATATAGGAGCGTTTAGGAACTGTTTTCGTCAAGCAACATTAGTTGAAATGAATTAAAATTGACTTAAATAGGAGCTGGACTTTTCCACCGACTTTATGCTTCCCAATGGAGCTGCTTGTGCAGTCTCACGAAAATGCGAATATATCTTTATTCCAATGTCATATTGACGAACGGTTTATTGGGTTAGAAACTAGACTTGTATATATTCAATTTGATAGGTGGATCATCCCGTAACTACGAGTACTTCGGGAGAAAAGATCAGCTAAATTTGATCTAATGTTCAGCACATTTATGAATGTAACTTGTGATGACCTTTGCCAACCTTTGTTCCACAACTCACTTGAATTCTAAACATAACACGAGAATATCATACGACTAAAATAATTATAACATAAACTACATATCATGTTGAGCACCCTATTCTCACCCAAAAAGTATAGGTTATAACATTCCCAAACTGTCGGCTTCTGACGAAACTTATTTTCTTCAACTCATTTAGCTTCTAAGCCTTACAACCCTCTTGGTACTTGCAGTTCATGATCTTAAGTATTTGTAACCTCTAAGTTAAATTGACTAAATTAATTTTTGTACGTTCAAAGATGTTATCATATCTGAGCATACATCAATGGACTTACGACGTACTTTTACGTACAAAGACAAGGGGTGTAACATCATACCCTCCTCCCCCCTCCCTTGGAACATTCATCCTCAAATGTTGATTGGTGCGCTTATCAGTATCATAACCTATAGCTCTTACGAATACTTTAGTACTGTCCTTGCATTCAAGGCAACTGTTTTGTGAATAAATACAAAGGCCAGGGCATTTCCCCCTTTAGGCCTCTTTGTCACACACAACTTGTGGTCGGAATTTTTCCAATCTTGTAACTTTTGCTACCTACTATCATGCAGCCTATATGTCCTTGTATGCGTGCCCATGCCACTATTCTCTCCTTTTTCCTCCAGCTTTTAGCCAATCTCTAGGCCTTCACTTTGTGAACATATACAATACTATGACAAGCCATCCCTCTAGTTATCTGTGGGTGCATTGAAGTTCTCCGCTCGGTACTTTGTCGAAATTATGACTATTGCTTTATTTTGTTTCATAGCCTTGATTATATATCCTTACGATTTTACTTCATCTAGGTAGATTATACTTTGTCATAACACTTACTTCGATTTATTATTATCGAGGTCTGATACCCAACTCCAAGTTACTCTCTCGATGCTTATCCTATAGGTATAAATCTAAGTCCTTTAATGTGTTATTATTACTGTTCATCTAAAGAATGACATCATGATCTCCCCTCATACTTTGGAAACATTATCCATCTATTGTTGATTTACCTTAATATTGATCTATAATATACCACTGATAACTTAAAACCTCTTACGTAACTTATTGTCACTAGGGATCACGTCTCATCGGGGAACAACTGATGCAATTTGTCACTAGGGCTCACGTCTCACTAGTTAATGGCATCCCAATGTGTTTCATCTTATGGGGGGTATTCTAATCTCGTGCAATTCATAAAATCCCTTTTTCTTAAATCATTACTCAATCAGAGGCCTAAACGTTATTTTCTTATCATTTATCACAATTACACTCTCATTCTACTACCAGTGTAGCATGCAATCTTTCCGAAATGCTCCTAGTCTTAGACATCTCTGAGTTCATTCAACCTCTAATGAGCTTTCTATAAGTTACGGAAACCATCAACTCTCTTGTTTTGATAGGCTCAATCCCGAGGCCTTACTTACTCTTGTCTCCTTCTCACCCACCTTTTCTTATCCTTACTCCTATCTACCTAAAACCCCGTCGTTCTAACATACTTTAGATTGCGGCCAACATATATCGATTTATACTACTCGCAAGCTTCCTTTTACTTGCTAGCACCATAGATTTCCTTTCGTGCCTTCTCAGTAGTCTTTAAATGTGAGCAATAACTTTTCCTGGTCGTTCTGCCATTTATTTCATGAATACTTGGCTTATCTTATTGCCCACCAATACCGGAATTTCCTGTAACTCATATGATCTCAAATATAACTTTTGATATTTTTTATTTTTACTTCGCGTTCAATAGCCACGATAGGTGCCACTTTCTTATGGAGTGCTGACCAGCACAAAACACCACTTAAAATTATGCTCGCTAATCAAATATAGTACAGTATAATATCGTGTCCATTGGGATTGGAGTTAAATTTTTTGTAGTTTATAGCTTGATTGCTATCCAAGATGATCAACAATTGAGATTTATGTGATAAAAACTAAGATTAACTAAGAGTCTAAACTATTGACTAATGACAATCGCAAAAACGATTAAGTAAAGAAGGTTATCAAGGGGACAAAACAACATTTTGATGGGATAGGTGCAGGATAATTGTTTGGGATCTAGTTCTAGATAATTCACTTCTAATGTTCAAGTGAGTCTCTCAAATTCACTTGATTATTATCTCAAACGCTTAGAAGAAACTCCTCTCTCGATTAAGTCTCAACCTCACAAGATGAACGAAATTAAGCTTTATAAAGATATGCAAGAATTCGTAGTGGATTGGTCTTTAGGAGAACCTCTCTCGATTATCCTCCTAACTAGGTTTAATCAACAATTCAACTAGCCTATTCCAATTACTAAGAAGAATTAATGAAGTCAACAAACAAAATATAATGCAATGATATCACAAGTTGTGCCTCTCTCGATTACATGAACTCGTGAATATAGATGCAACAATTGAAACATAAAAAACGATTCAATGCATAAAACTAGAGTTATAATCCTCAAACAAATATCAATACACCAAAACCATCAAACCCTAAAGATAACTACTCCATATATATGGAGCAATTCATCACAATTATGTTTAAAGTAAAGAAAAACATAAAACGTTCCAAACTCGTGTCTTGAGTGAAGACTGAATGATGAATTCGTTGTGCTTTTGCTTTTCCAACTCCTCCTTAGAGCTTAGATGTGTCAAAAGTCCAGAAATAACGTTTTTCTATGAATATATACCAAGTAGGGTTTGGCCCAAACGAAAACACCTTTTCCTACGCAAAATAGGGTATTCACTCTGTAAATTTGTACAGGCGCGCAATGCGGGGCGTTAGTGGGGAAATCCAGAGAGCTTGCTATTTGTCAGACAACAGCAAATGGGCAGCCTTGGCGCGCCACACGCCGCCCCACTTGCCGTGGGGTGTGTTTTTTTCTCAAAGTATGGATTTTTCTTGACTTTTTGATATCGAGACGTGGTTCTCGACCCCTGAACGCGATCCCAGCTTAATCCCTTGGGCTTTTACTTAGACTTCAAAGCTCTAAATAGCTCGAATTCATTCCATTACATCTACATCACCTGAAATCACTCCTACAATGCATCAACACACAACTAGTGCAAAACACTATCAACTAAAGCTCAAACACAAATAAAGTGCAGTAAATTAGAGTGCAATAATCGACTAAAATACGAGATTATAGCCTACCATCAACACCCCACACTTAAACCATTTCTCGTCCTCAAGCAATCAAACCATGCTTTATATATACACGACCTTTTTAACCGACTCTCCTCCTAACTCATCACACCAAGAATATTTAAAATAGACTAAGCAGAATAGTGTAACATCCTCGCCTCAAGATTTGACTCAAAAGTACCATGTACTATTTCTAACCCACTTACTTACTCTAACACGGAGGTCAACGACATTACCTTTCCTTTGTGAATCAAGTGCCCTCACACAACAATATAGAGTAGTTCCACACATAATAAATTTACGAACAATTAGGAACTTAAGATTGTAAGAATTCGCTCACTCTCAAAAACAACATTCATATGCCACAAAAGATGTACCATAAGCTTGCATGTAGTGTACTACTCTACTAATTGAGATCATTCAATTAAGGATCAAGAAGGACTTTAATTGGTTGTAATGTTAGCTGCTGGACGGGTAGTATACATTCAGATATAAGAGTGACTACACCTCCATAAGCACTTTCAATACATACAATTTTATTGCTCACAACCCCACACTTATGTCAAACCGTAACTCCACCTTCACATCAATATACATTAACTCCCTACTTCTTTAAGCACAAATACGTCAAGAGTTACCACTATCAATGAATATTTTTCTTCACAAAAATAAAATAATATATCTCTTTCAATTGAAGTGGCTCTTACTTTTGGACAAACAATGCTCCTTTCTCCTTATTTCAATAATTCCACTCAAAAGACAAACCAACCACCCCACACTTCAACTTTTACAAAGTTCATAACAATTTTAAGAGCTCATGAGAGGTGAAAGTTTAAATTAGATGGTCAATTTAAACAAATGGGTAAGGCTTATAATGTGTCTGCCAAATAAATAGGATTACAGGCTCAAAGGGTTTAACTAAGATACATAACAATTAGATGGGTAGGACATAGAACTGGCTCAACAAAGAAATGCCGATATCACTTCCAAGACTAAATAAAACTACTATTTTGCTTTGACAAACAAATGTGGCAAGTTCTAGACATCAAATGTAATGCACAGAATAACACAAAACCTCACTCACATGGCACATAACTCACTCAAGATTGGATTATCAAGACACTCTAGTCAAAGCAGTTAAGCAAAGTTAAGATCATACAATTCAAGTTACTTATAAAAGAGTCAAAAACTGAGTCTAAGCGTCACAACTAAAGCACTCAATATTCTCAAGGTATAACAAAGTCAAGAGGTATTTCCTTCAATTCAAATCATAGCACAAGGTTCTCTACTCCTAACAAAAATAAAATTACCTACACCCGATTCAAACAAAACCCTTGAAAAAGAACCGCGACACAAAGAAAAACCAAGGGAGAATTATTACACTAACTACAAAAGAAACTCGTTTTTATTCTTTTTATTTCGACTTAAATCCCTCAAGAAACCCGTTTTTATGGTTTTTTTCAAAAACAATTTCTATCTCTAACTACTACAAATAACAAAAAGAAACTAATATACATGCATATAACATACAATTGTCCCCCACCCCACACATTAAATTATGGCAATTCCCCATAACACAATTAAAAAGCATAAGGTAGAGGAAACTTCCCTGAATCTCTAGTCGGGGTCTGAAATCAAAGTCGGGATCCATCCTTCTCGCTTGAACTAGTGCACACATCCACACAGACAGCTTCTTCTCAGCCTTCTTGGGGTACACCCCACACTTATCTTTCTCAGTCAGTGCAGCCTTCTCTTTCAATTTCTTCACCTTCCATTCCACACATGCAACTGGTTTATCTTTTTCACCCTCCTTTCTACATTCATCTCGAAAGTTACGGTCTCCTCACCCACTCTAAGCATGAGTCTTCTTTCATGTATATCTAATATAGCTCTACCTGTTGTTAAGAATGGTCTTCCTAGGATAAGGGGAACCTCCTTATTCTTTTCCATCTTCACCACTATAAAATCTACAGGAAATACGAACTTATTTACCCGAACTAAGACATCTTCCACTATCCCCTCGGGTATTATAGTTGTTTGGTCTACCAGCTGTAAAGATATTGGTGCAGACCTTATCTTTCCATATTTATTCTTCGTGTTCCTATAATAAGACAAAGGCATTAGATTAATTGAGGCACCAGAATCACATAAAGATTTATCAAAATTAATGGAGCCTAAAGAGCAAGGTGTAGCAAAACTCCCTGGATCTCCACACTTTTGTGGGAGTTTGTTTTGCAAGATAGCACTGCAATGCTCTGTGATCTTGACCATTGAGGTCTCTTCTATCTTCATCTTCTTTGTAAGGATCTCCTTCAAGAATTTGGCATAAGCTGGCATTTGTGAGTGCACTTCAGTGAATGGTAAATTTAAAATAACCTATTTCAACATATCCAACAATCTCTCAAACTGCTTGTCCAACTTTTCTCTATATAGCTTTTTGGAAAAAGGTAAAGAAGGCATGTGCTTTATCTTTTCAGGTTCCTTCCTTCTTGAAGTTTCCCCCTTCTTTTTCTTAGCTTCCCTCTTGCCTTTCTTCTTCTAATCAACTTCATTTTTCAATTGCTCCCCACTTTTTTTCTCAGGTACCACCTCCTTTTGGATTGGAGTGGGATCCTTCAACACATGCCCTCTTCTCAAGGTTTTAGCATTCACCATTTCTTTGGGATTTCTCTCAGTATAACCTGGGAGATTTCCTAGAATTCTCTCAGACAATATAGTTACAATTTGTCCCACTTGCTTCTCTAGATTTCGAATTGCTGCCCCATGAGCATCTATCCTCTCATCTGTTGTGACAATGAAGGCTTTCATCATATCTTCTAGACCAGGCTGATTGGATTATTGAGGCTGAAACTGTTGCCTCTACTAATTTTAGAAGTCTGGAGCTCCATGTCCCTGAAACCTGGGGTTGTTTTGTTGCCATGCATTTGCAGTACTCCCAGGTGAACTCCATGAAAAACCGAGGTGCTTCTGAACCATTGCATTGAAGTTATAATTTCCCACAGCATTCACTTCCTCAATTGAGGCTTGACACTCATGAGTAGGGTGTCCTCTTCCACATATACCACATGCTGCATGATGCTCACTTTGTATCGAAGTTAAAGTCAGCTTCCTTATTTCTTTGGCTATGGCATCAAGTTGTACCTGCACAGATGTATTAGCATCAACTTGGTGAACACCAGTTGATCTTCTTCTTTTAGCACTCTCAGAGGGCCACTGGTTTGCATCTTCAGACAACTCATCTAGAATTGTGACTATCTCCTTTGGAATCGTTTTCATCAACGGGCCTCCCGCTACATTGCTCAATGTTCTACGTAAGGCTGGTGTCAATCCATCCCAAAAATACTGGAGTTGCATCAAGAGTTCAATTCCGCTATGTTGACACTTTCGAACTAATTCCTTAAACCTCTCCCAAGCTTCAAACACAGTTTCAGTATCTTTCTGGTAGAAGTTATGGATTTCTCTACTAAATTTGCCAGTTTTAGCTGAGGAGAAATATTTATCAAGAAATTTTCTGTTCATCTCCTCCCATGTTCTAATTGATCCCTAGGACATTCTATGTCATTGCTTTGCATAATCTTTAAGTGTGAAGGGAAATGCCCTTAAGTAAGTTGCATCTTGTGGCACACAATTGTATTGAAAGGTGTTCATAATCTCCTCGATGTCCATTAGATGGTTGTTTTGATCTCTGTTCATCTGTCTTCTGAAGACACGATAGTTTTGAATGGTTTGGAGCAACCCTTACTTCAACTCGAAATTGTTAGCTGCAACTGGAGGTGGTCTAATACTTGATAATCCTTGGTTGTAGACTGGTCTATCATAATCACCTAGTGGTCTCCCAGCACCGGGAGCTATATTTCCGAACTGATCTGTAGCCAAGGGTTGATTTTGAGCAATTCTCCAACCTCTCTCTCCTACATAGACAAGTTGTGCATTTCGGAGAGCTGCTTCCTCAGCATCTCGCGCAGCTTTTTCCCATTTTTGGCCTGCCTCTCTTGCAGCCATGTCCACATTATTATCATCTCCAGCCAGAGTTTCTTTTGTTGAGGATTGCCCAACCTTCTCTATATTCTCGGGGAAATTTCTTTCCTTCCTCAGATTTCATAGTTGTTTTTCTATCTCAGGTTCATATGGTAGTACATCTTTCCCAGAAGATCGAGTCGTTCACCAATTTAACTTGTAGCCTGTACACAATTATAGAACACCAAATGTAAAAATGGAATAATAAAATTAAAGAAAAAAGAAAAATTCTTGAATTAGCATTACGGAATATTTCAAACACTATTGATTACCAATCATATGCAATGGCACAAAAATTTGACGAGCGCAAAAATCCACATAAAATTGTGCTCGCTAATAAAATATAATATAGTATAATATCGTATCCACATTGATTGGAGTTAAATAGTATTTTCGTAGTTTATACCTTGATTGCTATCCAAGATGATCAGCAATTGAGATTTATGTGATTAAAACTAAAATTAACTTAGATTATAAACTATTGACTAATGACAATCGCAAGAATGATTAAGCAAAGAAAGTTATCATCAATGGGAGAAAAAAGGGTTTTTGTGGGATATATGCAGGATAATTGTTTGGGACCTAACTCTAGATAATTCACTTCTAATGTTCAAGTGAGTCTCTCTAATTTACTTGATTATTAGCTCAAACTTTTAGAAGAAAGTCCTCTCTCGATTAAGCCACAACATCACAAGATAAACTAAATTAAGCTCAGTGAAGATATGCACCAAGTCATAGTGGATTGGTCTTTTTGAGAACCTCTCTCGATTATCCTCCTAACTAAGTTTAATCAACAATTCAACTAGCCTCTTTCGATTACTAAGCAGAATCAATGAAGTCAACCAACAAAATATAATGCAAAGATATCACAAGTTATGCCTCTCTCGATTACATGAACCAGTGAATACAGATGCAACAATTAAAACATCCAAAACAATTCAATACATAAAACTAGAGTTATAATCCACAATCAAATATCAATACACCAAATCCATCAGACCCTCAGAAAACTACTCCATAGTTATGGAGCAATTCATCACAATTATGTTTAAAGTAAAGAAAAACATAACACGATCTAAACTCGTGTCTTGAGTGAGGACTGAATGATGAATTCCTTGTGCTTTTGGTTCTCCAACTCCTCCTTAGCCTCCTTAGGTCTAAGATGTGTCAAAAGTCCAGAAAATAACATTTTTCCATGTATATATACCAAGTAGGGTCGAGCCAAAATGAAAACACCTTTACCAACACGAAATAGGACAATCACTCTGTAAAATTTGTATAGGCGCACCACATGGGGGCGACGCGCCACATGGGGCATTAGTGGGGATATCCAGAGAGCTTGCAATTTTTCGGACACTGCAAATGGGCAGCCACAGTGTGCCACGCGCCACCCCACGCGTCGCGTGTGTGTTATTTTCTTAGAGTACGGATTTTTCTTGACTTTTTGATTTCCAGACGTGGTTCTCACCCCCCCGAATGCGATCCCAGCTTAATCCCTTGGGCTTTTACTCAAACTTCAAAGCTCCAAATAGCTCTAATTTATTCCATGACATCTACATCACCCGAAATCACTTCTACAAGGCATAAATGCACAATTAGTGCAAAACACTATCAGTTAAAGCTCAAACACAATTAAAGTGCAATAATCAACTAAAATGCGAGATTATAGCCTACCATCAAGTTCATAAAATTAGTGAGAATGTTTTTACAAGACCATTCCTTCTTCAAGTTACTATGGTTAGGTTGAAGCCACCTTCGTTATTTCCTCGGCTAGTCTTTCATTGTAGTACTTAGGGAAGGCCCTCTGACTCTTGTAAAGCTACAAGGTTATTGCATGGTATACGCGATAGAATTTTTGATGTTCTTACTCACCTATAATTATCCTTAGTTACTTACCTCGGCGCCTTTGTGCTCCTAGGGTTGCTTTTGAACTGAAATTTTGATTGTCTCCCCACTGGCACTCTCTTTTATTTCTGTAACACTTATACGGTACCTTGAACTACCCAACTCCTTTCTGATTATCTGTTGATTTATATGTATCCTGTTGTCAAGCCATAACTAGGCTATTCCAGAATCAACTATTAGCTACTCGTTTGTCCATTCTCATATCTGTATTCCGCGTAATCTCTCTTGAGTTATGTCCTTTGTCTTAACTTACCCCTCGCACTGGTTCCTTATATTTAAGTGTCCATTCACACTTATTTATCAATAACACCCTGTCCGGAACCCTTACTACCTCTCCCTAGCATCATGCTTTCTTAATGTTCTTGAGTCGTAACATATCTATAGGATCTGAATAAATTCAATCTCATCCATTTTGCCATTTTACCACATTCTACGTTTACCATTCCATAGTTACCTCTGCATCTTTAGCATCTTTTCATATCTTCACTGACTTTTACTCACCTTGCAGTAACGCTTCTGTACCAAGGATAACTTAATTTCTTATGCACAAGAGTGACACCTACTGTAACGGGCACACTTAGTCCCTTACGATTAACTCTACTCATAGTGCTTACTTTAGGGAAGCGTCTTCCTGAATGACCTTTACAAGTTATTCTTCTGTTGTCCATTCTATTATTTCTGGAACATGATCTCTAAAATTCTGACGATGTTGACTATTATCAAATGTTCCGATCCCTTATTCATGAGAATATGAATTTATGTCTTTTATACTCTTTTATTGTCTCAAGGTCCGTCTCCTCTTATAGTTTCCTTCACTTGATTATAGACTTTGTCATCCTGTCTTATTTGATTTATCGTTATCACCAATTTCTCACATCTTACTCACAATTGTTCGAGTACTCTCTTGTTATTCTCCTGCTAATATTTTTGTCTATTATCATATTTTTAAAACTTCAACAAAATATTCTTTCAATTTTAGATCCCCTTGCTCCATCTCACTGGCTCAGGTCGCCTAACATTCTCTTTTTGCTAGGGGCGGGATTCATACTAAGGCACATTTTCATCCCTTTTAGGATTCCAGTACCTATCTTTTGAACATTCTGAACATTCTAGTTTTCATATCTAACTGTACTATTCTAGAGTGCACCATTTGGGTGTCTCGTAAGGAGAACTATTACCACATTTGCAATATCCTTCAGAAATGTCAGCTAACTCTAACAATCCATCCACCATTTTTTGTTACTCTAATCCCAGCTGGATCTTGACATCCCATCCTTCTCTTAAACTATATCTGTTAGCTCCCATAGGGCATAACTTAGATGGGCGTGGTTAATTGTATATATCTTTGTTAATATTGAAGGTAACTCAGAATGCTTATATTTCTCTACCTGAATTGTAAATTCTAATAATCTTCA